CGCTCTTCCTGGAAACAGCAGCACAGCTCCCTCCATTTCTTTCAGGCTTCTGCTCAAGCGTCACTTGATTAGAGATGTCTTCCCTGATCATTCTAGGGAAATATGGCCCATTGACTCTTCCTTCCTTCTTCCCCTCCCCACTGTTCTACACTGCATTTATCACAATCTGGCACACTGTTGTTTACTTGTTCAATAGTACAGAAGCTTCATGCAGCCAGTGGTTTTTTTTTTCCTGCTACTGTAAGCCCAGCACCTAGAACATTACTTGGCACATATTAGGCACTCAATAAATACTTGGTGAATAGGTGAATTATAAAAAAGAAAAAAAGTATTACCTATAAATTTATATCAACATTACTTTAAGGAGAGAAAAAGTAAAAAAAATTAGATGGCTAAACACAGTATTTAAACATATAGCACAAATCCATGATAATTAACATATGGCAGTCCACATGTAATAGTAACACAGAGAAATATATATGAAATTAAGAACTCCCCCAAATATTTACAATTTTTTTTATTTAAAATACCTACATACAAAAATTAGATGATTTATTATAATGAAAATGGAATTTTCTATTCATTAGATTATTATTTGCCCTAAAAAGATGCTCAGGACTATAATTTATAAAATAAGAAAATGAAATAGTTCTAATAACTCAATCTTCAAAAGGTTTTAATTTGACATACAGAATAAATCCTGGTCTAAACATAAGAACACCATATAAGCAAAGAGGGTTTCTTACAGAGACAGCTGCATCTGAGGGAAGTCTGTTGAAGTACATTTATTCATGAAATCTCCAGACCATTTAGAAAATGAAGGCAGATACTCTTCTACTTCTTGTTTTACTTCGTCTGGATTCAGATTTAAGCGGTACCTGCCAAAGTAAGAAATTAAATACAAAAGCATAAATATGAAAAAAGTGAACAAGGACAAAAATATCCAAATAAACATCCCGAATACCCATCGACTAATTAATGGATAAACAAAATGTAATCTATATATATACAATGGGATATTATTCAGCCTTAAAAAAGGAAGAGAGCAGGCATTTTCTTCCTGACTGCTCGTGGTATCTTTGTCTCAAGGCTACTGATAGCAAGATGTTGATAGGAAATGCTAAAATTGGGCACCTCGACCCCCACCTTAAAAGCCACAGCTGTTGCCAGATGGTCAGTTCAGAGATATCAGTCTATCTGACTACAAAGGAAAATATGTGTTCTTCTTTTACTTTAGAAAGGTAAAGGTCAAGACTTTACCTTTGTGTGCCCAACAGAGAGTGCTGCTTTCAGTGACACAGCAGAAGAATTTAAGAAACTGAACTGCCAAGTGATTGGTGCTTCTGTGGATTCTCACTTCTGTCACCTGGCACAGATCAACACTCCCAAGAAACAAGGACTGGGACCCATAAACATTCCAGTAATGTCAGACCCCAAGCGCATCAGTGCTCAGGACTCTGGGGTTTTAAAGGCTAATGAAGGCATCTCATTCAGGGGCCTCTTTAACATTGATGATAAAGGTATCCTTCTGCAGATCACCATAAATGACCGCCGTGTTGCCCGCTCTGTGGATGAGACTCTGAAACTAGTTCACGCCTTCCAGTTCACTGACAAACATGGGGAAATGTGCCCAGCTGGCTGGAAGCCTGGCAGTGATATCATCAAGCCTGATGTCCAGAAGAGCAAAAAATATTTCTCTGAGCAGAAATGAGTGCTGGGCCATTTTAGGGTCAGGCGGCAGTGGACAGCCATAAGAACAAAACTTCTTTTGTACTACTGTCATGCTTAAAACACGAGATCTTAGACTTATCCCAGATGTGGTATGGGAGAAGACTGGCCTTTCCTGCAGGGGTTAGGGAGGCCAGCCTTTCTTCTGAAGGAAATGGCCTGAACTTTGCTAGGGGTCAGGCCAACCGATGTGTACAGTAGTGGGGCATTACTTTTGACTTTTTGTAATTTCTATTAAACTGGAACCAAGGGGGGGGTGAAAAAAAGAAAAAAAGGAAGAGAGCAGAGGCCTATCAGTCCTCTGAAAGAGTTGGTTCAGCTGAGAAGACAAAATCGGCAACCCTAGCTCTGCCAACATTTCCCATATAAATAGTAAAAACAGAATTACGTCTCGGAAAGCAGACTGATGTCAACTAGTCTGGAGATCACAATCATCACTAATAAAAACATTTCCGTGAGAAAAGATGGGCTGCAGTAGTCAAGAAAGAAACAGAGACAGCAGAGTATGCCAATCCTTGCTGCATGTATCAGTCACTCATAAAATGCCAGTGATTAGCCATTAGTGGATTTACATACATTATCTCCATTGTAACAATGCAAAATAGGCATTATCACCTTTTTCAAAATCTTTAAGTAACTGCTTCCATCATCAAATCGGCAAAGCTAGAATTGGAAACGAGATCTATCGGACTGCCAAACTCATACAATTTTCAGTGTCATACTGTTTCTAAAATTAAGGCAAAAAGTTTTTCACACTCTCTGAGAGCAGCTAAGGAGTCTGTTGTGCACATATACAGAATATTTTTAGCCAGAGCTCTTGATATGCAATTTTAGAACCTTTTTCACAGAACTGCAGGTAATACAACCCTATAATCTGCATTCTAGTATTACACTAATTTACATTGACTAGTCTAATGGCCAAATAGCTTAGAGGTTCTAGGAAAGAAGTTATATAATAAAATTGAACCCACAGTGATCTCATAACTACTTACATTTCCTTCAGATGCCTTATTTCTTGAACAGTTTGAAAAGCAAGTTCTTGTAGCTTTTCTGGGTCAAAGCTATCATTTATTGCTTTCTGAAAAACTTCATGGAGAATTGTACCAATCAGCATTTGGCGTGTGGCTGGATCAGAATTCTACAAAAAAAATTTTTAATCATTCAAAAATTTTATCTCACAACATATTAACAGACATAAATGTGTATTTATTACCTATTTATTACCTACATGGCTAATGTGCACTGGTAAGACAAATGGTAAAATATCAACCTGTTTTTTATGGTGGGTGGGATTACAAGTGACTTCCACTTTCTTCTATTCAGAATGATCTGAATTATTTTACAAGTATGAGTTACTTTTAAAATCCATATATTTTCATTTGAAATAAATTAACCAATATAAAGAAGTTCAACATATTCTCAAATACTGAATGTAATCACCTCTAATTTCACTTTATAATTTACCCAAACAGAAAAGTCAATAAAGGCATAGCTCATAAACTCATGCAAGTAAAAGATATTATTCAAACAAAATTTAAACTTACAGTAGAGATTTTTAGCAAGAATTCTCTCCACTCAAAAAGAAACACTATTTTTCAATTAACTTGAAGCTATCAAAAAAGTAGATAAAGTTCACCAAACCATCCATTAGGAATTTTTTAAATTTACAGAGAAACTCTTGTACTATTTTTGCAAATTCTATGAATCTAAAATTATTTTAAAATAAAGTTTTAATAGATTAATATTCAGGTCTACCTTATAATATGTGGTTAAAAAAAAAGTTGATATTTTCCCTCAACTGAAGGAAAAAAGTGGATAAAATAAACTACAGTAAGTGACAACTAATATTAACAGAAAATCTATATATTTTTCTTTTTCTCTTCTTGCTCAGCTGTAATTTTGGTTTCCTACATACGTGTAGATTAATTGTGTAACTAAAACAATACTCTGCAAGGAGGAGGAAGCTTTTAACAAATAAAACCCCAGATTCAACAAATATATGGCATTGAAACAAAGGGGGTGAATCAAAGGCAGAAACTTAGACATATCAACCAAACATAATGCAAAGACCTTGTTTGGCTACTGAGTCTAACAAACCAACTGAATAAAAAGATATTTTTGATAAAAGACATTAGATATAAACCAAGCATTAGATTAAGAAATTACTGTTTTATTGTGTATGATAAAAATATTATACTGTATTTATATATTTTTTAAAAACCTCGTCTTCATTTACTTGCAAACTAATATGTTTGGGAAAAGCAGAAAAGGTACATAGGGGGTTATTATAATCATTTATGTGATTTATATTTGAAATTTTCCATAATTATTTTAAAGGCACTGTGACATTTATTTTTAGTTTATTGAGAATCATATGAAGCCAAGTTTTGAAATGTCTAAATGCATTAAATTACAAAATTATCACTTAATTAATTTCCTTATCATTAGAATTAATTATTTCATTAGCATTGACAAGATTCAAAGGATTCAGGCACCTGGCTTGGAGTCCCAGGACTGCCAATTACTAGCTACATGACTTTGGGCAAGTCACTTAACCTCTCTTAACCTGATTTCCCTCATCTGTAAAAGGAAGCTGATTAATACCATCTACCTCACAGGATTGTTGAAAGGATTAAGTAAAATAAAAGTGTAAAAGTGCTCTGTAAACTCTAAAACCCTGTAGAAACTAGCTGTTAATATTATTCACCCTGAAAGTTTCACTCAGGATAGCTCTTCTCATGCATCGAATACTACTGGCTATGCTTGTGCCAGAAATCAGCATGTCTGGATACAGAATCAAATATCCAAAATCTTCATTTATTATCCAAGTATGAGATATACAGTCTCCCTCCAAATGAATGATGTCCCCTGGCTCTACTGGTACAGAGCACCTAAAAACAAACCAAAGTCAAAGTATCAATACATAGTTTAGGTTCCTGCACTTAAATTTAGTAAGGAGGCTTCAAAAAATAAACATTTAATCTGAAGAAATATGTATTTCTAAATTTCTGGATTTTTTTTTTAAATTAAATACCAGGATGTAGTCTTCTGAATCAACTCCTAGTCATTTTACCCCTTTCCACCTTTGAAATACACCATGAGTTTTCCTTAAATCTCAAAATGGAAAACTGCTTTAGCATCATCTACTGAAAAAGCTATCAAATCTTTAATGGTATAATATAAAGCTCTAACTATAGACATGTTGTTTTAATAATTAATTCTCTAATTCTTAAGACTACAGAATATCTCAGCTTCTATAAGTTTTGGGGCATGAAGTCAAACCAAATGTACCAAGAATAAAATCCTATTTAACTAGTTCAAACCATTCAACTTGAAGCCTAGAGAAAAAACCTAGACAAATTTACACCTCCACCTTCTCTCTACGTCTCCACTTTGCCCCTCACATATCACACTTCACTTGAGTAGAGAAATCTAGGTTCAAAGAATGTTCTTATGCTGTAATTAATTTTCCTTGTAGTAAGAATCTGAGTTTTAAGCTGCCATCTTAAAATAGAAAAGTACCAGGAAATAGGAAGCTGTCATTTAATAAGTTCCTCTGTACTTATGCTCAAACGACAATAAAAAGCAAATTTTGGAATAAGGGATTTAAGATGTTGGAATAAAAGACAATTTTTATGTAGAATTAATTCAGGCTGAAATATACTCCCTTTATTAATAATTAAATTATAGCGACATGCACACAAGCCCAGGGTTTTAAGACGGTCCCCTTAAGAATCTTCCAGATCAGTGCTAAAAGTCACACAAAAATTACCAGTCATTCCTGAGGATGCACAATTCTTTATAGTCTAGCAACTGGGAAGCAGTGATGATTAGGTGCTTTTCACAGTTTCCTTCTTCATTCTGTACAACGTCGACGGCTAATACCAGGTACCGGTTATCCACTCCTCGGCTTAGGACTGTTTTAGAAAAGGAAGCTTTCACCTTCCTAAAATATACACATACAAAACCAATGTAACACAAGCATGAAATAAGAAGCTATCCAATCTCCTTTATCTAAAAACCAACCTTCTAGTTTTTAGGTTTGTTTCTTCTGGAAAGCTTACCACAATGACATTAGCCAAAACAGGTAAAAATTAAAAAGCAAGGACATAGAATATTATAAAAACTTCCCAGAAGCAATGCTTACGATATGGATTTTTCCAATTATAATCATTAATCCCCATGATTATGAGGATTAAGGAAAAATTGAAAAACACGAAACAACACATTCCTACCAGTGGTGCAAACTTTCTCAAAAAATAAATGAAAGGGAATGTTTTGGACACTATCCTCTTTGTAAATAAAAGAGATGTTTGTTATAGAAAAGCATACATAGCATAGGGGTTCACTGAAGTCCTACTGTAAGCTACAGAATCATATTAATCTTTAAATAAGGAGCATAGTTAGAAACCACCTAGTCCAACCTATTTAAGGCAGGAAATCCTTCTATGAAATCTCGCTGGGGATAAACCAGCCCCCCTGCATTGTAGACAAAGCAAGCTTAACATATTAGCTCATTCCTTCATAAAGAAACTCAGAAATTTCTTTCATAATGGGTAAATCAATTTCACAATACTTTTATCTATTGATCCTAGCCGCCTGAAACTATGCAAAATAATCTCTTCTCTAGAAAACATTAAGTTTCTCTTAAATCTTTCCAGTTTGATTGCGGTTAAGACTCCGAGGCAAAAGTCATTACCCCTCGAATTATAACACCAAATGTCTTTCACATTACTCTAAAATTACGTCACCCACCCTAGGTTCTAATATTTTGTAACCTCCTCATTCACCTACTCTACACAGCCTCAGGCCATGAATGTCCCAAGGTAAGCTGAGACGCCTTAAAGATCTCCCCAAAGGTATTGCTGATCAAACTCCCAAAACGCAAAGGTCTGTCAACAATAATTAGCACCACTACTGAAAATAATTATGGCTACTGAATAGTTATGGCTATTGAAAATAATTCCACACCATGATCGTGGGTCGTTTCCCCGACCATTCAAACCAACATGAGGATGCAGCGTTCTCCTTGGGATAAGGTCTCCAACTAAACGAGAAAAGCATCTCACAGTTACAATTTCCTTTTTTGAAGACATTTAAAGTGGCTGGGACTCTCCAAATTCGGGAAAGACGTGAAATCAAGGGAAAGAACTGCTGGGCAACGGACAGTCTCCAGGCTCTGGTACGAGTGGGGCCCCCCAAAAGGACCCTGCAAAGCAGACCCCAGCTCTGAAGGCTCGTCTGGCGCCCCAGAACGCGAGTCGGGTGGGTGCGACCTCTCCCGCTCCTTTCTTTCAAATCTCCCGCTTTGCTCCCAGACCCTCCCCCCGCTCCGCTTACTGCTCCGCCGGCGATTCAGCCTTCTCTCTGAAACTCTTCTCCATGAGCAGCTCCAGATCACCCAGCTGCTCCATCCCAGGTGCGGAGCCCGCAAACAGACGCCAGGTAAAATCAGGGGCACCCGGAGAAACGGGGCAAAGGGAGAGGAGCGCGGGTCCGTGAGGCGCCGTGCGCATGCGCCGACCAGCCGTGGTCCCAAGAGACCTGCGCGGGCAGCCCCTCCGGCCTGGGGCTTGTTCCACGTGGATCCCTGTGCCGGGGCGACCCGGGACCTGAAAGCGGCTTTGCTCCCTTTCCTTGGGTTTTGGTAAACAGGGTGTCTTCATAATCTGTCCGAGACTAGATGCTCTTGCCTTCTCTTTAGACAAGCCAACCCATTCCCAGCGCACGCTCTTAGTTGGAACCAGAACCATTTGCAGTTTCTCAAATCCGGGCCTCCCTTGTTAGCTTTCAGAATTTTGCGTTCCCTGGAAAACCACCTCTCTTCCTCCATTTTTTTTTTTTTTTTTTTTTTTTTTTTATGGAAAACTCTAAGAAAATACAAGCTGTCAGGTAGGAACTTTCTCGTCATGCTACGAGTAAGTCTATAAAACTACCAATATCCACACCGGCCTTAAAACCTCTTTCTACTTTTTTCAAGTTGAAAAAGCCATCCTCCTTCAATGAGCAAATCCTCTGCACTCAAAATGCCAAGGCCTGGAGTATTCTCAAAGTCATTGCTTCTTCAGTTATTCCCGCATTCTCTTGTATCAGTAATCTGTTCCTCACTATTGGATTGCTCCCAGGCTTATAATGTGGCCCAATATCTCCCACTTTTAAAAGATGTTACCTTCAAGAAATTTACCCCATTCCTCTCTTGACCACTCTCCAGACCAAATTTTTTTTAAAGAATTCTTTAAGGCTATCAATTTCAACTCCTATTCACTTTCCTTTTGTTTTTAATTTTTTTAATTAAAAAGCAATTTATTTTACCTATGTAGAATATTAACCACCTTCAAAAATAATATTACAGAATATTTAAAATGTACAGAAAGGTGTAAAATATAAAATGATCACCTCATAAGCCTGTCACCTAACTTAGTCTTTATCAAGAGCTGTCCCACATTCATTTTTATTCATTTTTATTGATATAAAAATTATGAGCAACTTCTTGAAAAAAAAATTGGAAAAGCCTTGCATGCAGTAAATACAGATTTTGAACCAGTGACGCCACACCCAAATGATTTTACTCCAACTTCAAAGGCCTTCCTCAGGCTCCTTTACTATCTCTTCCTTTTCTGCTCAACCTCTACATGTTAAAAGTCCTCGGAGTTCAGCTCTCAACAAATTTATCTATCTATTAGATCTCTAGGTTATTCCATCCATTTTCACAGCTTTAAATACCATCTCTATCTTGCCAACTCTCAAAGTTAAATTTATAGGCAATTATTTTCCCCTGAATTCAGGAATCCAACTATTTGACATCTATACTTAGAAATATTATTGGGGAGGGGAGGTTCTCAATTACAACGTGGCCAAAACGGAACATTTATTTCACCCGCAAACATATTATTTTTAATAAGAGCACTATCCACCCAGAGGATAAGGCCAGAAACACAGAAGTTATCCTTAATTTCTTTCTATTATTACTCACATTAAATCCATAGGCAGACCAATAGCTTCTGCCTCTAAAACTATCTTCTCTCCGCACCTTTCCATCTCCACTGTCACCACCTGATGATTATGTCTGTAAAACTGCAGTGGATGCCTACATGTGCTTCCCATTCTTTTCTCCCTGTAATTCAACCCTTTTCCCCAATACTTTATCATGAAAATTTTCAAATGTACAGAAAAGCTAAAAGAATTATATAATGAACACCCATATACCTATCACTTAGAGTTTACAATTACTGTTATGCTATCTTTAGTTTATCACATGTATATTTATCTAGTCATTCCCCTATCCATCCATGAATTCATGTTTTTTTAATGTGTTTCAAAATAGGTATCAGTGCATTTCACCCTTAAATATTTAGTATGCATATCATTAGCTAGAGCTTAATATTTATGATAGTTTAATTTTTTGTGTATTTACATGTAAAATTTAAATTTTACATAAAATGAAATTGTCAAATCTTATGTGTACGATTTGATGAATTTGGGCAAATGTGTTTAACCCAAACCCCTACTAAAATACAGAATGTTATCACTCCAGAAAATTTCATGCCCTTCCCAGGCAATTCCCTACTAGAGAGGCAATCACCAATCTGATTTTTTTTTCACCACAGATTAGGTTTGTCTATTCCAGAATTATATAATGGAATCATATGGTATGTACTATTTTGTATCTTGCTTCTTTCATTCAATATAATGTTTTTGAGATTCATCCTTACATGAGTGAATAATTTATTCCTTTTTATTGCTGAATGGTAGTCTACTTGCCCAGTCCCCTGTTGATGGACACCTGGACTATTTACAGAATTTTGCTATCTTGAATAAAGCTGCTACAAATATTCTTGTATAAGTTTTTTTGTGGACAGATGCTTTTATTTTTCTTGGGTAAATATCTTGGAGTGAAATTTCTGAGCCATATGTAGTTTTACATTAGATTTATAAAAAACTGCCAGACCTTTATCCAAGTGGTTGTAACATTTTACACTACCGCAAACAGTATATGAACATTCTAGCTTCTGCACATCCTTGGTAACATTTGATGCTGTCAGTCTTTTTAGTTTTAATTTGTTTTTCCATCAACTAATATTATTGAGTACTTTACTACATGCTCAGTCATTTCTACACTTTCTTTTGTAAAATGTTCAAATCCTTTGCCCGTTTTTAAAAATTGCATTGTCATTTTATTATTGTTACAGAAATTTTCTATATAATTCTGGACATAAGACCTTTGTCAGGAAGGTTTTGCAGGTATTTTCTCCTAGTCTGTGACTTGCCTATTCATCTTCTTAACAAGATCTTTAGATATGCAAAAGTTTTAATCTTTATGAATCTAATTTATCCATTTTTCTTCTATGATTTTTGCTTTCTGTGACCTAAGAAGTCTTTTCTATTTCCTAAGTAATAAAGATATGCTCCTACATTTCTTCTTGAAGCTTTATTGATTTTTTCATTTAAGTCTATGATCCATCTCAAATTATTTTTTGTGTATAGTATGAGGCAGAGATTGAGTTGTCCCAGGCCCTCCACACATGCGCCCATATGTATATCCAATTTTTCAAGTAGTACTTGTTAAAAAGACTTTCCTTCCCCTTTGGATTGCTTTGGCACTTTTGTTAAAAAGTCAAATAACCATATTAGTATCGGTCTGTTTCTGGACAGATTGATATTCTGCTCTTTTGATGTTTGTCAGTCTTTATGCCGGTACTGCACTGTCACAATTACTACAGCTTTATAGTAAGTCATACAGTCAGGTAGTGATATCATTGTTCTTTTTTAAGTTTGCTTTAGATATTCTAGGTAGGTCTTTTGCATTTCTATATAAATTTTAGAATTAGGTTGTAAATTTCTACAAAAAAGCCTGCTGGAATTATGACTGAGATTGCTTTGGATCTATAAATTTGAGAGAATTTATTTCTTTACAATATAGACGTCTATATTCATAAATATGGTTTATCTCTCCATTTATATATATCTTCTTTAATGTCTCTAAGCAACATTTTGTAATTGTCAATGTAGAGATCTTACAAATTTTGGTTAAATTTAAGTATTTTATATTTATTTTAAAATTATTTTGCAATTGCTTTCTGCTAGTACATAAAAATATAATTTTTATATTTACCTTATATCCTGACACCTTGCTAAATTCACTTGTAATTTCTAGTAGTTGTTTTGTAGATTCATTAAGACTGTCTATGTAAATAATCACATCATCTGTAAATAGAGGCAATTTTACTTCTTTCTGATCTTTATGCTTTTAATTTCATTTTCTTACCTAAGTTCACGGGTTAAATAGAAGTTGTGATACTGGGCATCCTTGCCTTCTACCTTATCTTAGTGGGAAAGCGTTCAATATTTCATCATTAAATATGATGCTAGCTATTTCACCATTAAATATGATGCTAGGGGTTTTATAGATACCTGTTATGGTTATCTAATACTACATATAAAATAAAAGCAAATCTCCAAATTTTAGTAGCTTAAATCAACAACAATCCTTTTTTAACTTATGAATTTTCGATTGGGGGAGAGCTTGTCTCTGTTCCACAGAGCATCAGCTGAGAGCTAGAGGATCCACTTTGAAGATGGCTTACACAAATGGCTGGCAAGTTGATGCTGGCTATCAGTTCCCCTACAGAAGCCACTTGGCTTCCTCACAGCATGGTGGCTGTATTCCAAAAGACCAAATGAAAGCCATTTCAACATCATGACATAACTTCAGAGGTCACATAACATCACTTTCACTGTAGTCAAATGCCCATTTAGCCAGATTCAAGGGGAGGGAACACAGTCTCTACCTCTTGATGGGGTGAATGTCAATGATACATGAGAAGAGCATGTGAATGGGATATATTATTGGAAAATATAATCTGGCAAGATGCCTTTTATCAGATCGAGGATGGTCTCTTCTAATGTGATTAGTTTTTATAATGAATCAATGTTGAATATTGCCAAGTGCTTTTTCTGAATCAATGTTGAATTTTGCCAAGTGCTTTTTCTGCATCTATTAAAAGATCATGGTTTTTCTCCTTTATTATTATGAGAAATTACACTATTGACTTTGGTTCTTAAAGTTGGCATTTCTAGGATAAACTCAACTTGGTCATGATAAACTTTTTATACATTGCTAGATTTGATTTGCTAATACGTTAAGGTTTTTTCCATCTTTGTTCTTGAAGGATACCGGTCTGCAACTTTTTTTTGTAACAACTTTGTCAGGTTTGGGTATCTAGGTTATGCTGGCATCATAAAATGAGTTGGGAAGCGCTATTTTCTAATTTCTAAAAGTTTGTATAAGATTCTTCCTTAGATGTTCAAGAGAAGTCACCATCTGAGCCTGGAGTTTTCTTTACAAAACAATCTTTGATAAATTCAGTTTCTTTAATTGGTTGTGCAGATTTTGTTTCATCTATGTCAGCTCTGATTGTGATTTTCAAGACATTTGTCCATTTCATCTAAGTTGTCATTTCCTTGTTAAAGAGCTATTTAGAAATCCCTTATCTTTTTAATGCCCATAGGATCTATAGTGATGTC